TATGTCTCAATTTAAAGTACAATTGGGACTGAATTTCGGTAAAAAATACCGGAATCTAGAAATTGTTTCTGATTTTTAGAGCAAATGATCTTACACCAAGTGAAAATTTCAATACCAGACTTTCGAAATTCATAGATTTTTACGGCATCATTCCACACTGAATGTGAAACTAGAAAAATTGGATGTGAATTTTTTACTGAAATTAAAATTTGTGTTGAAAATTCCATTTCATTTTATTTTATTTGATTTCAAGAGCGATTCAGAAGCGAGTGGAGTAGCGCAATATTAATAGTTTCCACACGTCGAGCCTATTGACATGTGACGGCAAAATTCTTGAATAGTTCAATATATCCATTTCCGTCTGGAAGATAAAATGATTCAAATTATCACTATTCACTTGTTTTAGAATTATTAGTACATTAGAGTACAAGGGTACAAATTTCGTTTTCAACGAATGTGTAAGGCCGAGCCGAGGGCGAGGTCTGTACACACATTCGTTGAAAACGAAATTTATTACCGAGTGCTCTATAATATTTTATGTCAAGTCGTACAGAACTCGACTTATTGAACGGCGCGACATAAATGTATTTCAGGACAAACCACAAAGAGACCTTTTCTATAACTGAGAACGTTCCCTACTATATCAAGATCATCCGAAATTTTACCTCACAACTATCATCTCTAATTCCATAAAATTAAATTAACTACTTCACAAAAATTTCTTTCAATACTCAAAAAGTTTCTCATTTTAATACCATAAACCGTAAAATTAAAAAAATCCCAACAATACCCCCATTCTGTCCCCAAGATTGATTCCTAATATTCCCAACAGCTGCAGTTCTTACCGTTATTAAAAAAATCCTGACATTCTCACTCCCATCCCTCCAAATGTCAGCAACATCCAGCAGAATGAAAAACCAAGACATCAAAATGAAGATAAAATGCAATGAGTACCCAGTGACAACTTTATATCCGAAACAATGAAACCGAGGGCAAACTGATTTGTCCCCAATTCAGTCGACATCTCCATTATCGTAGGTAGAGCTTGTAAAATAAATCACTGATCATTCGTTCCGCCAGGAGGGCATACAACACAGAGCGCAGAACAAATCCCCTTGATTCCCAGAGGATTGGGAAATATCTTCGGGATGCTCCTTCAGGACTACGCCTGCGCGATTTTATCTCTTCTGGTCTCTATATAAATGCCGCCACTTGTTGAGCGATGCCCATACCTCTACAACACCGTGGGTATCATTCTTTCAACACCGTCCAACATTCAGAACGTCCACTCAACTTTACTCCGGGGAGAATCGTTGAGGCCTGAAAATGTAAGTGAATTCAAAATAAAATAACCAATAAAAGCGCAAATCTTCCCGTCAAGTCTTCATCTCCATCACAAATTCAATTGAAAAATGAATGAACATTTCAAGTTCATTAGACGGCGAGAGTTTTTTTTTGTCTTGGAAACGAATTTTCAACGACAGTAGGGAAATTCTCTCATTCGAGTGGTGAAAAGCCAAGGGGAAATGAGAAAAGTCGGAAGCGGACATGCGGGACGGCTGAGCTTTTAATAATATCGACTGTCTTTCCGAAGAACCATCATCATTCCTGCAAAACGAGGAAAAGTCCATCTTTTTTTCAACAATACAGGAGAGATAGACTTTAAATGTCAGGGGATTTATATGTGACGGGGATTTTTCGCACGTGTTGATTCATTTCGGACATTCGGGGCTGTATGACGTATGGATTCGGGCTGAGGTCTGACGCGGTGTGAAGTTCTGCCGCGTCTGAATTAGGGGCTTTTGCGTGGGCTGGGGTAGTGGAATTCAATGTTGGGGGAATGTGATTAAGGGACTAGTCTCGGCGTGGATTTCTGGTGTAACTTTATGGTACTTGTGCAGGCTCGGGACAGGGATGTAATGTTGGGGCGCTGTGTTCATTTGTCTGTATAAGCTGGGCACAACAATTGATGATAATACTCGCAATTTGTCAATTTTATCTATTTTCATATTGCACTTTTTTGCACTTCTGGGGAGTGACGATTTTTAATGAAATTATTGAAATTTATTGGAATAGTTTTATTAATATGAAATTTTAATAACACGTATGAAACAATTCCATAGAAAACCTTGCGAATTTGCTAGGAAATTCTGTTGGAATTCTATAGGAATTCTATGGGGTTTGCATAGATTTCTATTGAATTCTATTGATAAATTCTATTTGTTTATCGGGAAGAGAATTAAAAAGTTTATTTATTTGAAATGAATCAACGCAAAAAACAAATAGAATTTTTTAATAATATTCCCATAGAAATCCTATAGAAATCCCAGAGAATTCTTATAGAATTCCAGTGGAATTTTCCAGCGGATTCTAGGAAATCAACTTTAAGGTTGAATAATTATTTTATTCTCACCAATTTGAGAAAACCTAGTTATTCAATTCAAAAAAAGTTTATTTATTTGAAATAAATGAACACGTGGATTTCTCTGGATGTGGGGTAAAATAGAGCAATTATTACAATCATCAGTATCTCCTAAACAAGTGGCGATTTCAGTTAATCTAATTTTAAAGCTTAAAAAATAACTTGAGACTGAAAAAAAATCGGAGAATTCCACTTTGCGGGGCTCAATTTATTAACTCTCCTCTAGCAGTAATTTTTTTCAGTTATAGTTGAAGATTTAATGAATCTTGAAAACGTCGAAGGGCTTAGAAAATTTCATGTGAATTGATATTACATTATACGGAGAGAAAAAAATTGGTTTTTAGGGTCTTGTCACTGTTTTTGAGGATATATCAGCGATTTTCAGGATCGATAACATTATTAGGGGTTTCCGATTGTGGATTCAACGAGTGCAAAATTCTGAAATTCAGTCATTTTTCCCCAATTTTTAATGCAATTATCAATAATTTCTAATGACGTTGTCATTAATTTTCACGAATCTGTGATCAAATTTTAGTTGAATTATTTTAGTTCAATTATTCCTTGAAAATGACTAGAAATCCGAAAAATACGGTAAATTTATTTTTGAAGCACTGAATATTCATGATTTCATTGAAAATTCAAATAAAGTGAGAAATTCTCATCTCAATGCTATTCAAAAATATATAATTGTATTAAATTGTCTGTGAAATGTGAAATTTCAGGATGTTTTCCCTCTTAAATCGCATTCAATACCACTCCCCTGAACATTACTAATCGACTGTCCTTGAAATTTAATTTTTTTCAACAATGCACCTTCGAAAACAAATTAAATTCAAAATCCCCAATAAAATCTCTAAATAAGATCGCGATACCGTAGCACAAATGCTCATCACTTCTACGTCTTCCTGATGTATTTTCCCTTCCTTCGGGGCTCCGGTAATTCGTTGCAAGGACACGTAATTATCAATGACGTGAATTTTTCCGAGTTCCTCGTAATTTTCCGACGTTTATTTGATTTTGCGAAGAAGACACGTAAGTGAATAACATAACAAACTCTTCATAAATGCCTGAAAAAAATCAGTAACTAAGCGGTAAAACAATTCAAGTCGACTTCGCTCTTAGCTGACTTTTCGAGAAATATCTCCGAATCTACGGTAGATGGAGAAATTTTCGTAATAACCTTTTTTGTAAAGCGGATTAAAATTTACAAAAAAGATAATAACAAAAAATTCGCTATTTGCCTTAGATCCAGAGATATTCAATAATATTCAATCGTAAAATGTGTCAACTAATTGCGTGAGAAAAATTGAAAAGAAACCACGAATATTGAGCGTCACTCAAATTACATTTTGCACAGAATTATTACTTTTTTAAACATTTGTTGTTTGTGAATAAATAATTGACATTGTTTAAACTTTCGGAAACATTATTTGTTTACGCATGAAAACGATTTCCGGTAAAATTCTGAATATGAATACACTTGTTACCATTCCGAAGAAATCAATTTTATGATGGAAAATTGATTATTTTTAAATTATTTATACAAAATGCACGTAATTTTGAGAAATTGCACTTTTAAAATTATTTCATCAATCTTCCTTCAAAAGTCAACTTTGTATTTTTTTGAATTCAAAAAATTGTTTATAACGGGTGAATATTAAGATTCAAATACAGACCTGCAAAGTTTAAATAATAAAATTATCCTTAAGGCTATCCAAGTGTTTTTTACAGTTTGGTACAGACCACACTATAGATTAAACCATTTTCAGTCATTAATTTTGTCAATTAAATTCCGTGAGAGCGATTTCGGAAAAATCATGAATATTCAGCGCTATTTAAATTGCATTTTGCACAGAATTATTATTCTTTTCAACATTCGTTATTTGCGAATAAATAATTTAAATTGTTCAACTTTTTAAAAACTTTATTTTTTCAGGCGTGAAATCGATTTCCGGTAAAAATCTGAATATGAATAAATTTGTTACCATACCGAACAATGATTTTTATAATGAGAAATTGGTTGTTTATAAAATATCTATAGAAAATGCTCCTAACTTTCAACAATTGCGCTTTTTAATTTATTTCATTAATCTTTCTCCAAATGTGAACTTTCTAATTTTTTTTCAGATTTTAAAAATCTTTTTACACGGTTCAATATTGATATTTAAATTCAGACCTAGAATGTATAAATAATAAAATCATTGTAAAATGTCCAGAAACTTAGGGTCAAATGAGGTTCAAATGAAAGCTCTAGTATTTTACTGGAGACAAAATAGCGAAAGTACTTGGATATCCTCAAACCCTTTTACCGTTTCGCCACTGAAATGATTTCCTGGAGACTGGATAATCATTTTTTTATTTCTCTAGAAAGAGCTTGCATAAACCGACGATGACCATAAGAAAAAGTGAAAATTAAGTTCTAGGCCTCGTGACATTAGCCTAATGGGCTCTGCAGCACAATGACGGATCAATGCATGAAACCGTAGAAAATCTTCGGCCCATGAAGCGCCAACGTCGATTTTTCCCCTCGTTAGCTGTGTTACCATCCGTCTGACTCATTCGCACGTTCACACTCATCCCGGTCACCTCAGGGGCATCGCAAGTCCGAAAGCCACATTATTAATTTTGCTGCTTTTCGGTGGAACGCGGCCCCATCCGCGAATTAACCTTGACACATGCGTGTAAAACGGTGCGATAGGAATTTCGAAATTTGGGTACTGTGAAAACAGTCGCGAAAAGACCGTCTGTAGTTTATCAGGAATTACGACGGCTCGGAGAATTGGAACAAATTCAAATATCTTTCGGCTTTTGACGCTTGATGCGGTACATCTGAGGAGATTTTCTGATTTTAATTGAACTACTGTTGCAGCTAAGATGAACCTTGAGGAGTATCGTAAACATGGTGAGTGATATTTTGTTAAGGCATCATTAACTAGTTACTTAATACGGTTGTCAATTTTTATTATAATATTTTTATATTTTATATTTTATTGTCATATTCTTATATTTTAAGCTATTTAAGTTGATTGTTCCGAAATAGAATAAACATGAAGATCATCTTTCTCTAAAGAAAAATGATTCTTTTTTTATCATTCCCTTGCCGCATTATATTAATTAATATTTTATTTTTTAATGAAATCGATTTCTCATGAAATTTTAATTATTTATAAATTTTTACAATTCGCGAAAGATGATGTTTATGACGGATAAGGAATTATTCATTATTATTCAATTGTTCATAATTGTGTACAAAGAAAATGTGTTTTTTTAAAATTTAGATTCTTTAATTTAAAAAATTTAATAAATTCCTACAATTTAAAGGTGAAAATGACATTTATATCGCCAACGTTTAAATAATAAAATCATTCTTTAATTAATAATAAAATCTGTTTTTATTTTATCCATTTATGTTGAGCAATTTAAGTTAACTGTGTCACAATAGAATAGACATTTGAAAATTATCTTTCTCTGAAGAAAAATTACCCTTTCTTTAAATCATTCCCTTCTTACCTACGAATCATTAATTATTTACGTTTTTTTATGGAACTGTTGTTCATGAAATTTTGATTATGAATGAATTTTTTACACTTGGGGAAGATGATTTTAACGACAGACAGGAAATTGTCCATTATTATTTAGTTGTTCAATTTAGATTTGTTTATTAAACAAATGAATAAATTCCACATTTCAACAATTCAAAGTTGAAAATGAAATTAAGACTGCCACCGTTGCAATAGTAAAATCGTTACACAATGGTTGACAGACTAGAACTAAATAAGACTTCAACAAAAGTTTTGATGTTGAGCTACACAAGTGGAAGAAGATTTCAACTGAATAAATAGTCAGATCTTTCCAAAAATTAAATGAGTTGTTGATTCTCTGCTGAATCCCCTCTATTCAATTTATCAAAAAATCTTATTTATTTGAAGACGAGATCGATTTCCCTAACAAGATAAAAAAACTAGAAATAGTAATTCGGAATTTATTTCATTCCATCGCTTCATTCCCGGAAACGCAAATGCCAATGTCAATCGAGCGAAACGACTGGAGAAAAGTGTGTCAATAAAAGTGTGAGGGGTGAACCGAGGCTGGTGTTACGAATTTTATGACACTGAATATTGCCCCTCATTTACATGTCATTCGGATTCTTCGGGACAATTTCCTCATTCGATTCAATTTGACTGGAAACAGATGTGATTCAATAAGAATTCGTCTGTTCATCTCCAAAAGATCGAAGAACAGTATTTTTGTCCTTTCATCTATTTTATTGTTTCAATTTTATTACTTTATTCTGTTCCACTGGATATATTCGATTTCGTGAGAATATCTGATGGAGTGGAATGGATTTCCCTGAGGGAAATTAACCGACTTGATAGAAGGAAATATAATATCTGTCACAAAAATTATATTTTGGTGGTGATAATCAGAAATATTCTGTTGGCAGGAAAAAATATAATCTATTGTAAAACGATCACTTGATCTGAGAGAACTCCATAGGTTTATACCATAGAAAGAATATATTGACGAGGAAAGAATATGTTTTCCCAGAAAAATTGTCCCCTCGAAATATTTAGTTTTGCCAATAACTATTTGCAAAATTATTTGGTGAATTTCACCAACTATTCCCCTTATTCCCCTTAATTCAATTCCCCTTAATTCAAATCAAACCTAAAAGTTTCGTGAATTTATTGCGCCTCCAGTGAATAAACAATCCACAGAATTTTCTCTCCACAATCCAAACATTTTTCGAACCAAAGAAACTCATCAAACAAATTAAACATCCCTTAAAAGATTGCGCCCAGAATAACCCAAACACTCTATTCTCTCCAAAACCAATAACCCCCAGATTCGATTGTATCGAGCCCCACTATTTCGTTCAACTTCAAAAGTGATTAATCCCTTTATTGTCCATTGTTTCAATCTGAAAAAGGCAAGGAAATGGTGGATTACATAGCGGACTACCTCGAGACAATAAGATCAAGACGAGTGTATCCAGCTGTGTCGCCTGGCTACCTCAGGAACATTCTGCCAGTGTCAGCGCCAGTGGATGGAGAACCGTGGGAGAATATTTTCGAGGACATCGAGAGGTGCATCATGCCAGGTGTCACACACTGGCAGAGTCCCCATATGCATGCTTATTTTCCAGCCCTCAATTCACCGGCTAGTCTTATTGCTGATATGCTTGCTGATGCTATTAATTGTCTTGGATTTACCTGGGTAATTACTGATATTTCAATCGGATGAAAATTACTTAATTAATTTATTTATCATGCCCATGATTGATTGGGTGAATCGCATTTTTCAATTTTTTTCAAGTCCTCTTCAATTTGAAATAATGAGTTTGAATCAAGTAAAACTCGTTATTCGAAATTTTTTTATTCGTTTCAATAACTTTTTTGTTAGAAGTGAATTAAACTCATATTTATTTCACTGAAAATTTATCAGTGATGTATTGTGTATTCATTATACGCGAATTTTCTTAAATTTATTTCTTGGAGTTTGTAATGAGAAACGAAAAAAATACAGCGGAAAAAGTTGCGCATAAAAATTCCAACCGAAGAAATCTGAAGAGAATAATCCATTGCCTTCTGTCTAATGTCTATTAAAAAAACAACGGGATTTCCAATAAAATTTTGATAGAATTTGATTGCGAAAGCCTTAGATTTTTTTAATTTATCAATTAACTTCAATGAAAATTTTGGCATTATCGGAAATAAATAATTAATCAATTCCAGATAAACAATTTATTTAATTCGGGGAGCATTTCGGCGTTGGGAAAACCATTCATTCACTGTAAATAAAACTGCAAATAAAAATGGAGTTTATGTTGAAATAAAAGCTTTATTACAAGCTGTTTGAATAAACCCATTTCCTAGATTCAAGCAAAACAAATTTCATTCCTCTGGGTGTAATGTCAAGCTCATTTTATCAATCGGCAAATAACAAATATGGTGATGTTTAAATATTTATTCAAGGCGTCAAGTCCAGCTTGTACAGAACTTGAAACAATCGTTATGAATTGGCTCGGGAAAATGATCGGTCTGCCCGAGGATTTTTTGCATCGTCCCGGAGGTTCTGGAGGCGGTGTGATTCAAACAACAGCCAGTGAGGCAACACTGGTGTGTCTCCTGGCAGCGAGAACAAGAGCCATCAGGGCGATACAAGAGAACGAGCCTGATCGATCACCGGCGGAAATAAATTCCCGACTCGTTGCCTATTGTTCGGATCAGGTGATTAATTCAGCGCAATTTCAATCCTCAACAGAGAAAAAAAAAGTTTTGATTCTCAGGGACATATATCACTGATTTTCACACTGAGAGAAAGTAGCTCTGCCCTGGTGAAAATTTTTAATTTAATTTCTGGCAAGAGTCTTGGGAATTTCTAACAAGTAACATTTCCACTGAAATTTCAAGGAATTCTGTCATTGAAAATTCATAATTTTGTTGAAAAATCTGTGGAAAGAGTGAATTTCAGTTTAATTGTTCAGTTTAATTATTTAAATTAATGATTAGTGAATAATCAAGAAAATTCAGAGAAAACTCTCCTTAAATTCAAGATTCTTGTGAATTTTTGAGGAATTCCAAGAATTTTAAAGGAATTCCCTGAAGATGCGAAGTAATTTGGCCGTGAATATTCATTTTAACTTGAAAATTCATGTAAACTGTGAAATCTCCGTCTTCCTGCCATTAAAAAAAGCAACTTTACTTGAATTTTTAGCTTGAAGTTTGAAATTACATTGACTTGTTCCCCTTAAATCGAATTCAAGGTCTTTTTCCGGAATATCCAGCGAAATTTTTCAACAGAGGGCCGAGAAACTATATGTGAGAACATTTGATGGAGTGGAACAGATTTACTTTAGGTCAACTAACCAACTTGATAGAAAGAAATTAAATATCTTTCACAAAAATTATGTTTTCGTCGTGATTACCAGAAATATCCTTAGAAAAATTCGAAAAGAAGGAAACAGGCAGGAATTTTTCCCTGCCTGTTGGCAGGGAAAAATATAATCTATTCTACGACAATCATCTGAGAGAACTCCATAAGTTTATACCATAGAAAGAATACATCGACGAGAAAAGAACATTTTTTTCCCAAAAAAATTGTCCCCTCGATATTATTTAGTTTTGCCAATAACACAGTTTTCGGCAAGAAAATTGTAGTTTCCCTTGAAATTATCATTTGTTTCATGGAAATTATAAATGTTTATTGAACAAACATATGCGCCACTCAATAACATTCACTTGAAGACATATAAATGTCTTTCGAGAACAATTACTGCTATACGAAAATTACCATGTTTCGGCGGAAACTTTCTTTTTCGTCTACAAGTGAAATGAATCAGTAGTCGGTTAAGGACAATTTGAGGTCCGTTACGAGATCAACAATTGATAAATCACCTGAATACGCCAACGATGGAATCTTTTTTAACGTTCAAAATGTTCATCAATAAAAAATAAGAAAGCTATCGTATGATCATACACCAGTTTTATTATCAAAAATGGAAATTTGAAATACAATTTCTGTTATACTTTTTATAGAATACTAAAGAAACGTTGAAATCGTCTATCTTTTGGTCGGCGTCTACCTATTGGTCTGGTTACCCATATGGTTTTTTGATAGAACTCATTTTTCTCTCAGTTCAGTGATCCATCCCTTATTTTTAGGAGTTGATCCCCAATTTTGAGAGATTTTCGATTTAACGACTGTGATTTTGCACTAACTTTTGGTGACATTATCACTAATTTTCAGGGATATCGTCACTGATTTTCAGGGATTCATCCCCAATTTTTAGTAATCTATTACCAACATTTGAGTGATCAAAAACACTCATGACATGTTCCTGAAAATTAAAAAAAAAATTTCCCTGTGTCCGCACATTCTGCACGGAGAAAAATATTCAATAAAATTTACGTATCTTTTCCATAATCCCGGAGCGAAATATGGTTATAGGAAATTTTACGGAACCGCCACGTCATTTTTACCTAAAATCATGGAATTTTTCTAGAGCGTGCCGTAATTTTTACCTGAATCGTCTGTGAAAAATTACGATACCGTCACTTAAATTTTCCGAGTCGATTCCGTAATCGATGAGCGAACTGTGAGTTCCGTAATTGTTACTGAACATTTCTCTCCCTGTGAAAATAAAATTCTTCAATGCGAGTGAGATGAGCCTTTATGCGTCCGAAATTAAGGATGGGTGATACTGTGGTTTCCAGGCACATTCGAGTGTTGAAAAGGCTGGCCTGATTGGATTGGTGCAGATGAGGTACATCGAGGCTGATGAGGAGCTCAGTATGCGAGGAGACATGCTGCTAGAGGCAGTCGACAGGGATAGAAAAGCTGGTCTTGTACCTTTTTTCGTGAGTGATGACTACTTTTCCATATTTTTTAATGATTTATGGGAATATTTTTGAGTGATTGCGAAAATTATAGTGCAGTCTTGTGAATTAAACGGAAAAAGTTCCCCCTTTTTTCATTCTTTCTCTCGCAAAAATCTCGGCAACTGTTTTTCTTTGTAAATAATAGGTTTTCAAAATAAAAAACGAGACGAAACACTGAAACAATGATATTTAGATCGAAGAGAGTGGATTCTCAAGATTAAAATTAAAACCATTGATTGAGAAAAAAACGTATTTCCATTTATTTCACGAACAATTCTACCATTCGTGTAATTACCGAAAAAATATAGCACACGATGTAGATAACTCCCCACGAAGAACAGTTTAAATCAGAAGAGATTAAGTACGGAGTTGTGTTCAACGGAAAGCAACAAAGTAATTGGTGATAAGACGTGGGTAGCCAATCTTCTTACTCCCGAGTACCTCAGTACCCAACTCCCCATAATTAGCGTGATGGAGAATGTTGAAAGCCTGGTAAATGAGTCCCACAGGGACTACAGAGACTCACAATAATTGTACTCAATTCCTGGGAAAATTGTAATGAAAAATATCCTGGGAGCTGTATCGATGAAACTGTCAGAGTAATTGGGTATTTTTAATTGACTTCGTAGGTGTGTGCCACCCTGGGAACGACTGGCGCTTGCTCATTCGATAATCTCAAAGAAATTGGCCCTATTTGTGAGTAAAAAATCAGTAATTAAATGTCAAATGTGATGAGATTGGCTCCGAATTTAAATTATTTTTGTCATGTATAATTGATGTCAATGAACAGAGCTTATTAAAGTCTATGTCCATGAAGACACAATAAAGAAGGGAATTTATATAGCGTTTCACATCTTTGCGACGTCATAGGAAATAATTGGATGGGATTTGGATGAAGTAGGAGGGGAACCGGGATTATTCTCAATATGAATAACCAGAACATTTTTACTGAAACGAATAAATAGTAGAGATCAGGATTTGAACCCAGGACCTTCCGATTATGCATCGAGTGCTCTCCCAACTGAACTATCCGGCTCTTAGCCATTTTTTGATTGTAAATTTCTGATACATGTTGAGCTCCGCCGTCCTTCTTACGGCATTCACATGACATTCTTACGGCTCGGCTTCCTCCCGATTTGAATTCATGAAATTCGATTGATCACTTATAAGAAATTTACGAAAAAAATTAAGAAAAAAGACCACATAAAATAGCATATTGGGACTTTTTAGCCCATATTTAGTTATTCTAACACAAAAAATAGGAAACTTTAATTCGAGCGATTACAAAACTGGAATTCGGAAGCAAAAATCTGAATCTCTTGATCTTTTTCTGTCAAATTTCCCTCTAAAAAAGTCTATCCTACGACGGAAATCGACGCGAAAACTGAGGGAATTAACTTGTATCGTGAAACGTGAATGCCAAATCATAAAACAGCAATTGAGCCAAATCAACTTCCTGAATCTTCTCCCCCGAACTCAAAAAAAACATCTCAATAGAAAAATGGTTTCCCGTCGATCGATGAAGACATTTACATCCTCAATTATTGTAATATTTTTTCCCACACCAGGTGAACGGAATTGTCTATGGTTACACATTGATGCAGCATATGCAGGTAGTGCTTTTGTCTGCCCAGAATTTCGTGGTTGGCTACGTGGTATCGAGTACGCCGATTCACTCGCCTTCAATCCAAGCAAATGGTTGATGGTTCACTTCGACTGCACAGCCATGTGGTAAATCTCACTGTTAGATCTCTATATCTCGAAGTAGCCGCAAGATCTCTCTTGAAAATTTTCTGAAACCCATAAAACTCGATTCGGGCGGATGCGGATGTGCCGTTATGTCTTTTTGTCTCCTCACAATTTCCGGGATTATTCCAACGGTTCCTGAATTCTCTTAAAGATGAGGGATTATTATTTTCAGGGTGAAGAGCAGCCAGGCACTTCATAGGACTTTTAATGTTGATCCACTCTATTTGAAGCATGAGAATTCAGGTACAGTACCGAGAATTCTGTATCAAAGAATGATTATTGTCCATTTCAATATTGAATTCAAAATTTAATTTTGCAATTTTAGGTCTTGCCATTGATTATATGGTGAGCTACACTTTAATTATGGCTATGAAATTTTTTAATGATGAAAACTAATTTTTTTAATTGAAATTTTCTGACATAACATGAAGTTTTTTGAAAATCCGCTTTTAAAAATTCTAGTGTAACGATTTTTTAAGCCTCTATTCCGCTTATCAAGTATAATATAATATGATGTCTATGTATATTTTTATATATACTGTACTCCATTATTTACAGTAATTGTAAAAACAGAAAAATTCATTATTTACTGTAATTAAAAAAAAATAGTTTTGAAAAAAAAATATATGTATTATATACTATATATAGTATATATTATATAATACATAATACATCCCTATAAATAAAAAAACGCATAAAGCAAATCAGAAATAAAGATGAAGAGGATTCGACAATTAAATTCGCATTGTGAAAAATTTTCCTGAAGCCATTTATTGTTCCTGAATTATTATTGAGATAAAAATTAATGAAAGTCAGAAACAGTAAGGTTTTACTATTCTGGCACCGATGGGAAACGATACGCGCGCGAAGCGCGTGCCCTGTTCTAGTATATAAAAATCGAAAGAAGATGTACAGATTTTGTCCTTTGAATTCACGTGTATTTAATTAAAAAATCTAGTGCGTCCAATGGATTTTATTGAATTTCTATTGGAAATGCCCAAGAATTCTATTAGAGCTCTACGAAAAATTTAACATTATCCGACTGTGTTGCACGTTTTCCAATAGATATTTTATTGAAAAAGCTAATAGCTGTAAATTTCCCGGTGTAACGTACTCTGTTGAGAATTCCTCCATAAAAATTCTTGCACATGAATTTCTCCACTTTTTTGCATTTTGTGGTGAGAAAGGAGAAAAATACTGCAGAAAAAACGGAAAATTTATGCCGAAGAATTTTCATAAAAGATATTTTTAGCGAAAAAAAAACTTTATGTAAGAAAAAGCTATTGACCGTTTTTCGAATGACATTCCGCTCCACGATTACCTTTCGTACAGCAAAACGCCACAATTTTAGATGATTTTTACCTTACTTTTCTCTCCGTGTAGACGATATATCGTCGTATCGTCATATTTGACAATATATTCATAAAAAAATCACTTGATGTGATAAATCATCCAGTTTCACCACTGTTACTGAATTTTGAATTATCCTTCTCATTTAGCACTGGCAAATCCCCTTATCCAAGAGGTTCAGAGCCCTCAAGCTGTGGTTTGTCATCAGGAATTATGGGATAACTGGCCTTCAGAAGCATATACGTGAGGTAATCAATCATTCCGTCTGAAATATCACGCACGAAAAAAAATTAATAGAGAAATCTCGCGAATTTGCTAGATAATTCTACTATATTTCTATTGAACTTTTTATTCATTTTGGCCGATTCTTTTGAAATGTTCAACAGAATTTGATTTTTCTATAAAACTTATTCTATTGAGATATTTTCTGTAGAATTTCCTCGGTTCAAATTTTCCAAGTTTTTTTATTTGATTCCCTTGATGAGAAAAAAGAAAAATAAAATGAAAAAAACTTGGAAAAGTTGAGCCGACGATTAAATTCTACAGAAAATATCTCAATAGAATAATTTATACTGAAAAATCGAATTCTATTGACTTATTTCTATAGAATATTTTCTATTGCTCAATAGAATCAGCCAAAAACTAATGAAAGTTCAATAGAAATCCAATGCAGTTGTCTAGCGAATTCGTTAGTTTTTCTATGAAATTTTTCCATACGTGCAGTGATCTTCTGATTGCGCTATGACCTTGGGATTGATTTTCTGGGGTTCTAGGGAGTCCGTTTAGCTCAGAAATTCGAAGCCCTCGTCCTCGGCGACTGTCGATTCGAAATTCCTGCCAAGAGGCACCTGGGAATGGTGGTCTTTCGACTTCGCGGAGAGAATACCTTGACTGAGAAGTTGTTAAAGAAGATGAACACCAGGGGAAAGGTTCATTGTGTGCCTGCCGCTCTGCATGGAAAATATGTTATAAGATTCACTGTCACTTCCACAAAGTGAGTATTTCAAGTACTGAATCTTAATGGACTTATTGTTTATCAACGAGGAAAAAACAACGAGTGTTTCAATAAAAAAATTAATTCTTCCGTTAATTCAACAAGATTTAGTTTGAATACAGCAAATAATAATCTCCCTTATTTGTCAGTGAAGTAAACAGTGAAACACATTAACTCTATTCGTCAATTTTCCGTGGACTTGTACGAAAAATAGACTTTCTATAAGTGTCATTCTGATCATTTCTTTCCCTCGGATGACAGAGGATTGAAGCGCAGTATTCGAAGCCGATGAACTGTTTTATTTCTGAAATTTTCACAAAAATAAACTCTAAATATGTGAATAGTCACGACAATATCGTATGCAGATTCATAACAGTTTCTTCTCATTTTAAAACTAGAAAGGAGGCGCGCGATGATTTATCCCCTCATTTATTGTCAGAAGGTTCCTTTTCTTCATTCAAATTTCAAATGTATTAAATTTCATACATTCAAGAATGGATGATAACTAGAAAAATAACTTGATCACTGATAGCGATGAATGATAAGTGAAAAATTAATGAATCATTTTGAATCTTCGATCAATTCTTTCTCACTTTTCATAATGAGGGAAGTGTTATGAATTGATTTTCTAGAGAAATCAACAATTTTCCGAATTTTTTACAAAATCCAAAAATTCTCTAGAAAACAGAATAATTTTGGAACTTTTTTTCGAACGGAACACGACACTATCCTAGAACTTCTATGAGACCCGGAAATTTTCTCAGTTTTTTAGAATTTAGAACCTATATCCAAGTCAAAAAATGAAAGAGAATCAAAATCATGCCAATTGCGAAAAAAAGAAAAGTCGTAATTTACAGCGATATTATGCGTAATTCATGCTTCAACTTTAAGCGTAAAGGATGCCTTCTTAAACGTAATTTACGTGTAGGTTTTTCTGTGTGCGTCGCCGTCACTAATTTCTATTCATTTCCAAAGCACTACCAATGAAGACATCCTCCGAGACTGGGGAGAAATAAAAAGCACAGCTAGCGAAATTCTCGCATCGATCACTGGATCGCCAGTGAGAGTTAAAGTATCATTAGCAGGTAAACACAATTTCTCCATTTACAAAAAAAGCCATCAATCGTGTAGGAACTATTGAATTATCCATGTATTGTAGAAACACGTCAGAAAAACGAAAACTTCGGGTCTAGTCTCCTCCTCGCCAATTCTCCAATGTCCCCGAAAATCGTCAATGGAAGTTTTGCTGCGATTTACGATACAGCTGATGTTTTCAATGACTGCATGAAGACATTTGGCCAATTGCGTTTGGAGCCAAGCGATAGCCCAGGTGAATACACTAAAATACACAAACAAACGAAAATTCCCTCTCCCTTCATTCATTGAATTTTGAGCTGCGCAAAATACGGTTTGAATTATCTGAAATATTCGAGAGTTGCTATTTCGGAGTCGTCAAACGTCATGAATGAAACAGTTGTTAAATAATTTGAATCCAAGCAAGACTATTTGAAATAATTCTTGTTTGTTCAACTGGCGAAAGGGAAATATTCTCAAATGTTTCTCTCTATGTTATTCTCTCTGTATCTCAAATTCGAAAGGAGTGAGCAAAATTTTCCTAGAAATTTTTTTTGTACAGAAAAGTGAAGACTCGAAACAGATTTTACCAAAATTTTGCTATCTTTCTTAAATTCCGAATTATTCAACAAACACTCAACTGGAAGCTAAGTCGACTTAAACCGATTGACCACTTCGCTACTGAAATATGCTTGAATGAAGTATATTTTCTTTTCCGTAAACACGACTTCATATTCGATTCTATTGCAATGGAATATTAAATATCTACACGCAGAGAAATATTCAAGAAAAATTACGGAACATTTCACGTAATTCGCAAGCGAGAATCGTTTTTAGTGAATTTCTATAGGAATATAAGAGAATAAATCTGAAACGTTCAGTAAATTTTCGGGTCTGTCACCGAAAAAATACGAAAAAGTCACGTAATTTTTCTGGAACTTGTAAAATCTAACAGAAACTTCAAGACTTATTATGCCTCAGAACATGAAAATTCCTGGATGTTTAAGAATTTTTACGAAAAGTTCCGGAAAAATTACGGAACGTGTTGTTAAAATCTCCCCCTCACGGTGATTCATGGCTAGCCGTGAGGCGTCGGACGGATGAGTAATTTTTACGGAACAGATCGTAGAATTTACGTGACGATTGACACTTTTTATTGAATTTTACTTCG